CAGCCAACCGGGCCTGCAGCAGAACACAACACATACTGTTTAGTACAAGCAAATCCCAGTGAGATCCCTTCAATTTTTTAATTCCTGTCTTATCAGACCTTTCTTGTTGTTGTCAATGCAGCTTATTGTTTTTTGTTCATGTTCTTAGTTGAAGCCTGATTCCTCTTGCTCTCATGCTACTGCTCACACTGCTAAAATGACATTTTTTGAGCCTGATGTAAGTTGCCAATCCAAACATGTTTCACTCCCCATCTGAAAATCACCCAGTGAAGACAAATCAAAGTGAAAAGACTATATTTGAAAATGTCATGGTTTTGACTATCGGCCAGTTTTCATCAGTAGATAAGGCAGCGCTGTAGCGAGGCCTGTGCGGGCTTTGTAAATGTTTTAGCACAGAGCAAATTGGATTGAGTACATATCTGCTCGTAAGTCACTGTTAATCGCTGACTAGAGGAGATGAAAGAACAAAAACGCAGCAGGACAGGGATGGGTAGAGTGCAGACAGGCTGAGAGTGGGAGGCCAGCAGAGCGCTCACAGAGGCACCATCTTTCTACTGTCTGACCCCAGACACCAAATCCCCACCAGCTCCACACCTGCTGTTCTCTACATGGACCTGACCTCTGACTTCCCTATGGACGGTCCCCACAGGGTCCAGTAAAGAACCAATCAAGATCCCGAGACCAAAGCTAGGCAGTGAGGTGGTTCTGGTATAGCAGCCACAGTCAGAATCCCAGATCACGTGATACCTTCTGAACAAACAAGACTTTTCCTCTATTATCAAACATTACAAAATACACGACTGCAAAGGCAGCTGAACAACAGTCAGAGGACTGTATCCATTAGAAATACAACAACCCCCATGATTTACTTCCAGTGTCAATGCTGAGTGCCAATGCGGGAAGTAGTCTGACATTTATGTATTACTGAAAGTAAGGGTGTGGAGGTTGGGGTGGTGGATTGTTGTGTAGTGAATCTGACTTGGAAGTGGGAAACCTGAGTGTTCTGTCACATACTTGCCATTATATCTGCCTTCTTATTAACAGTAACCATGATCTTTCCCAAACCATAACCAATTATTTTAGGTGCCCAAACTTAGTCAATATAATCAAGTGTTTTACATGCCTAACTTTGAACACATCCATAACCATGACCTTTTCCAAACCCAATTAATGTTCTTGCCTCTGGTTGTGATTGCTAATGTGCATTGTGGGCCCACAAATGTACAAAACCCAAAACCAGTGAAGTTGGCACGTTGTGTAAACCGTAAATAAAAACAGAATACAATGATTTGCAAATCCTTTTCAACCTATATTCAATTGAATACACTGCAAAGACAAGTTACTTAATGTTCGAACAGGTAAACTTTGTAATTTTTTGCAAATATTAGCTCATTTGGAATTTGATGCCTGCAACATGTTTCAAAAAAGCTGGCACAAGTGGCAAAAAAGACTGAGAAAGTTGAGGAATGCTCATCAAACACTTATTTGGAACATCCCACAGGTGAACGGGCTAATTGGGAACAGTTGGGTGCCATGATTGGGTATAAAAGCAGCTTCCCTGAAATGCTCAGTCATTCACAAACAAGGATGGGGCGAGGGTCACCACTTAGTGAACAAATGCGTGAGCTGATTGTTGAACAGTTTAAGAACAACATTCCTCAACGAGCTATTGCAAGAAATTTAGGGATTTCATCATCTACGGTCCGTAATATCGTCAAAAGGTTCAGAGAATCTGGAGAAATCACTGCACGTAAGCGACAAGGCCGAAAACCAACATTGAATGCCCGTGACCTTCGATCCCTCAGGCGGTACTGCATCAAAAACCGACATCAGTGTGTAAAGGACATCACCACATGGGCTCAGGAACACTTCAGAAAACCACTGTCAGTAACTACAGTTCGTCGCTACATCTGCAAGTGCAAGTTAAAACTCTACAATGCAAAGCGAAAGCCATTCATCAACAGCACCCAGAAACGCCGCCGGCTTCGCTGGGCCCGAGCTCATCTAAGATGGACTGATGCAAAGTGGAAAAGTGTTCTGTGGTCTGACGAGTCCACATTTCAAATTGTTTTTGGAAACTGTGGACGTCGTGTCCTCCGGACCAAAGAGGAAAAGAACCATCCGGACTGTTATAGGCGCAAAGATCAAAAGCCAGCATCTGTGATGGTATGGGGGTGTATTAGTGCCCAAGGCATGGGCAACTTACACATATGTGAAGGCACCATTAATGCTGAAAGGTACATACAGGTTTTGGAGCAACATATATTGCCATCCAAGCAACGTCTTTTTCATGGACGCCCCTGCTTATTTCAGCAAGACAATGCCAAGCCACATTCTGCACGTGTTACAACAGCATGGCTCCATAGTAAAAGAGTGCGGGTACTAGACTGGCCTGCCTGTAGTCCAGACCTGTCTCCCATTGAAAATGTGTGGCGCATTATGAAGGGTAAAATACGACAACGGAGACCCTGGACTGTTGAACAACTTAAGCTGTACATCAAGCAAGAATGGGAAAGAGTTCCACCTGAAAAGCTTCAAAAATTGGTCTCCTCAGTTCCCAAACGTTTACTGAGTGTCGTTAAAAGGAAAGGTGATGTAACACAGTGGTAAAAAGGCCCCTGTGCCAACTTTTTTGCAATGTGTTGCTGCCTTTAAATTCTAAGTTAATGATTATTTGAAAAAAAAAAAAAAAAGTTTCTCAGTTTGAACATTAAACATCTTGTCTTTGCAGTGTATTCAATTGAATATAAGTTGAAAAGGATTTGCAAATCATTGTATTCTGTTTTTATCTACGATTTACATAACGTGCCAACTTCACTGGTTTTGGGTTTTGTAGATGCCTGATTGGAACACTGGAATTAATGGGGCTCCATCTTAGAGCATGGTATCCAGTTCTCTTTGTACATCCAAACTCTTAATACATCGAAGCTCTTCTTTGTTGTCCAGTTAGTTTTAATAAGCCAGTCTGACAGTTTGGCTGCATGTGCATGTAAGTGCATTAGGAATGTGTGTATACCACTGGTTAGTTCATTGTCGCTGCTCTGCACTGCAATCACACAGCTATTATTGCTGACATCGGGATAGCATTGTCATGGAAGCCTAGCGCCCACCCTCTGGTTTCCACCCAGGTTAATATGTTAGCTCTGTCAGCACTGTTGCCATTGTTAGCGCTGCATGTTGAGTTAGCTTTGTTAGCTACAAAACGCCAGCTTAGCCATCCCTTGTTGAGAACCCATCCCAGACTCTACATCATAGATATCAGGGCTCAACAGTACGAGTGTTTCACTTGCATTTGCGACTAAAAATAGGTGTGTGCGAACTGTAAAAAATATTTAGGGGCACATGTATGCATAAAAAAATCAGCCGAAGCAGCCTATATTTTTGTCAATAAAAAAATATGATAATCTAACCGCAAATGTTGGAGGAACTCCAGCCGCCTTCCCTCTTCCCTCTTCCCTGTGTGACACGGTTATGGGCGGTTTTCCAAGCCACTGTCGGCACAATGAATATCGTGCGTGATGCCAAGGGTAGCGGTGCCGCTTTGTCAGGCGTTGCCTCTCCATAGACAAACAATTGGACAGCCAGCGCAAAGCGGTTTTACAGCTGATCATGTGTAGAGGCCTTTAGGGACCGTTCGCCACGGCACCGCTGCTGGGCAGGGTGGAAATAAAGCCCTTTTCACACAGAGCGCGCAAAGCGCAGACCTCCGCCGACAAACTCATTCATTGTGTATGTGTATGCACCGCTCTGCCGCCGAGCGGCGCGCGCCGCCAGCCTGTGTTCGAATTTAAATTTTTTTAATTTCACCACAACGCGCCGTGACGACACCTCAGTGCCACGCGTCCAACAGTAGAGAAGAGCCTGAAGTAGACCTGAAAGCGGTCACCATGGAGCTGTAGCTCCTGAACAAGCCTGAACTCCCCCAAATCCTGTCCTCTGTGCCCTATCCGGTGGGCGCCGCGAAAGCTCCGTGTGAAGTCCTGCAGAGTTTCAGAGGACCTGGAGAATGTTTTAGGATAGTAATAACATTATATAAGATAATCATAGTGCAAAGATAATATATATAATATAATAACATTAAAGACAAAATTAAATTGCAATACTTTTTCAAAACTTGATGATTTTACCTTTCTGTACATTTTGTATACAAATTCATTAAATAATTTTGCTTGTAAATGTCTATTTGCATCACGTTTATTACAGAAAACACATTATTTGATCAATTTACATTGTGCCCCTAAAGTTCTTTGTACGCTCCTTACTTTTTCAACTTAGGAACACATGTGCTCCTTGGGAAAAAAGTTAGCGTCAAGCCCTGGATATGTCCTAATTGTTGCATACACCAGCTTTAGGTGTAGTTAAGCTGTTTTGGCATTTGCTGCTGTGAGCACTTGGTGTCAACAACTTGGTTTCAATGCGGAAAACCTCTTCCTCAGAGCCAATAATGCGTTTGACGTCAGTCAGTTGCCATACACGGAGGAAGATCTGGGTAGTTAGCATGCAAAGTGCCAGCATCAGTACTGAAGAGACATAAAAGAGCTGCACTTACAGGATCATCATGGACAGAAAATCACTGTCATCAAATCTGTGCAGCATTGGCATGGTGAAAGGGGCACCTCTCCCATGCACAGGGTTAAGGTGGAATTATAGTTCTGTGTTAAGGAGTTTTGGTTACCCTTTGTAGCCTATTCACATATGCTCCTCTTCAAAATGACTCCCATTAACCCTTTCATCAAGTAAAATACCAGCTTTAGTATATATTTATGCCTGACGGTCACACTACTGTGGCTCTTGAGCTGTCCATCTCTGTCATGACAGGGAAAAAACTGCAGTGTCCATGGTAGGGTCCCAGTTGGACACAAACATGCTGTGCCATGAAGAAACACCACAGAAAGAGCACTTTGCACCAAAGATAGCGACAGCATTAAAAAAACGAGGACCTTAAGGATTATCACTTTAACAGCAGAATAAAGAGATAGAGAAGAGCTGTTCGTCCTTACCAGGCGTGATTTCTATCACTGTGTCTTGTCTTTCCGGGGGGAAAAGAACCTTGGGAGGCTGAGTGGTCTGGAGAGCTATGAGAGAGAGGGAAAGAGATACAGGAGGAAGGTTCATTATCAGGAGGGTGTGAGAGTTTTGAACTAATGAGCTTTAGTCAGGTGGACATAAATCACCATATTATGGGCTCATCATTCACACATGATAAATCTAAAGATCTAAGAAAACAAAAAGGTAAAGGAGAAAATTCACTTTATTTGTCAATGCACACGTGTTTATCATGTCCATCAAGTATCAATATGTAACACTGGTTTAAACAGGGAAAAAAAGAAGAGATATCCTTATTTTTGGAAGGAAAAGTTGGAACATTGAGTGTTTCATCCATTCACTGTTGCAATTTGCTGTATATCAAGTTTCAATCGAACCAAAATAAATTAAACCAACAGCTTTACTTAAATGTACCAGTATTTCTGTCAACTGGATAACAGCACCTGATGTGTTAGTACAAGGACAGATAGAGCTAGAGCAAAATCCAGACAGGCCAGAGAGTTGGAGAGTGACAAATAATAAGGTAAGTCTGAGATCTGAGTTAGCCTGAAAAACGGTTGCAATGTGGCTGTAGAGCTACACAGTACACCATTTTCTAAGGAAACCACCCAGGGAGAGTGCTGGCCTTTGCTCCACCAATTGATCACTGCCCTGCAGCATCACAAAGCCAAATTTAAAGAGTCGCATCGACTCTCACACCTACAAGATGCCGCCTCAGCCACGGAGGCAGCTCAGTGCACAGCTTGTCTCACCTCATGATTTCTTTTTGTCTCTTTGCAGGTTGACTGCCTCACAGCCTTTCAACTCTGATGACTGGCAGACACTCTCTGCTTCCACCTGAAGCACCTCTCAATTTCAGCTGGCTAGATTCTGAACACCATTGCTCTCTGCTGTGCAACACTTCCCCCCTCACCACCTCCAGGTTCCTAATAATCCTCTGATGTGTTTCAATGCTCCCATTCTTCTCTGAAGGCTGTGTCACAGCACATGAAATAACACTAAGATTAAGAGGGTGATTTCCGGTGTCTAGCAATTCCTAATGATCATGCAATGATCATCGTCATATACTGATGATTTAGCAGGAAACATGACGTGAATGAAGTTGTGAAGCTGACTAGTATTTCAGTACATACAGTACAGCTTCTGTACATTCCACTAACTAATGAGTGGACACTGTCGAAGATTAAAACTGACACCATGAATAAAAATTGGATTTTGACTTAAAGGCCCAGTGTGTAAAATGGGTTGGAAACAGTGACATCAGTGGTCAAATTCTAGATTGCAGGGCTCACTCGCTCACCCCTCCCATCGGGTAAATGACGGTGGCCTCGTAGGGACAAAAAGCCTTATGCACGACTTTTTCAGGAGTAGGTCTATCTAGCGATGAGGTGAATGTTTATTTAGAAATCTAAACCATGTTACGATATTGTAATGAATCCCTCACGAGCAGGAGACCAGAGGAGCGTTCGGGAAAAAGGCCTGTTTATTTGAGCACTCCAGAAACTCCGGTAACACTCCACTCCGTCCCAAACTCTGACTCTTCTAGTGTAACAGACACACTTCATAACTTTACACACATACTCGTTTGCCATAACGAGTGGGGACCCCCCTCCCCTCTCTGCTCCGCCAATCTCCAGCCCGCACACTGACTGACAGCGTAGCCTGTAAACAGAGCTCAGCTGTTTATTTAGCCTAGCAATATCTCCGGACTATAGTAGCTGCAATGGACGACTTTGAACGCGATTTTGAAGAGTTTCTTGTAGTGGACACAGACCCAGAGCCATACCTGTTTGAGCCGGAGCATACAGATGAGGAACTCCATGTGTTTGATGCTGAGCGGGTGAGAAGAGAGGCTGAATGCACAGAATGGGATTCGGTGCTACTGCTGCCATCGTTGGGGAGATATATCACCAGGAGGAAAAGCGCCGCAGAGAGTGCATCACAAGGAGTGAAGCTTCTTTTCCTCGCAGATGACGGTTCGGGTTCATTCTCTCCTGTTGCATGGTAAGTGTGGTCCATTCGCAAACTTTATAACTAAAAAAACTTTTCACTACTCTCTATCAACGAACTACTAACACTCTCTGCTGTTTCCTCCTCCTTCTTCCTTCCTTCCGCTGTCTTCGTTGGTTCATTTATACACGCGAAATGTGTTCTCTGGCTGGCTGGATTGTCCACTCGGTCTGCCGTACATACATGGTGGCGCAAGATGGCGACCTCTCTAAAGCAAGGCCCTTACTATATATATATATATAAAAGCATAATTATAAGGCTACGAAAACCAAACGAATTTTATTTTATAGCGATTATACACTTGTATAAACATATTAATAGGTAGAATATTCAGATTCAGATTCAGATTGACAATAAACCATGCCAAATATTACATACTGGCCCTTTAAGGCAGGACAGCCATGCTAGTGGTGTGACTCTAGAGATGGCAATGACAGTCTGTAGGTCAGCTGGTCCACAGCTTTGGTCCAGCTTGAAATAGCTTAGCATCTACATGATGGCTTACCAATACATGTTGTACAGACATTCATGGTCCCCACAGGATGAATCCTAATGAGGTCAGCGATCTTCTGACTTTTCTTGGAGTGCTTGAAAAAAGATGGAACGCCGCACACTCAGCTCCAGGTAAAAAAGGAATTTTATTTAGGACGTTTCGGCACAGGGCCTTTGTCAAGTCTTAACACACATGAGACACCAAAAGGAGTGGCTGATAAAGCCTTCTGTGAGCAATCAGCTCACCTGGTGTACACACCTGGTCTGCATTTGACACTAATCACCTGCATGTTTGACAGCAGAGAAGTGAATAAATCAGCTGATTGATCACAATCCATATAAATACAATCCTATTAAAATATCCATTTCAGAGAAGAAAAAGGAAGTATGCAATACAAAACATTCTGCACAGGATCCCAATGGACACAAAAAACACAGATTATTCCAAAACAAACACAATATACAATATTTACAAAAAAAGAAGAACAGATCAGCTGCACATCAACCTATAAAAAGGCATCATTAGCAATATAAGCTGTACCTGGTCTCTGTCACTAGAACTGACACTATTTATCTAGAGCAAAAAGTTATAGAAAACATTTCAAATCGTAATCAACATTCAGATCATTTGGTGCCAGAGTGTTCAAATAGTGTATGTATTGCTACCACGCTGTTGACATTTGTGGTTTTGAGTATCTTGACAACTACTGAAGGGATTGCCAAGGAATTTAGTACAAACACTCATGTCGCACTCAGGATGAACTGTAACAACTTTGGTGATCCCTTGATTTTTCTTCTAGCACAACTATAGGCTGAAGTGTTAATTTGTCAGATACTTTGGTTTACGACTAAATACCTGGAAATACTAATGACATTTCCACCTATCTCAGCTATATTTTGTTTAGAGCTAATTGGTGCTTTTTTCCCAACAAGCATGTATATGCAGGTTTTTTAAACCTGGGAAGACTTGCTAAAAATAGATGAAAGACTCCTTTCTCATTTCCAGTAGACAAAAGCTATGTACATGGCTCTGCATTTAACTAACTCTCTTTTTTCATGAGAGTGCGAGAAAACAGTGTTATTAAATAGTAGTAAGCAGCATGGAGCCCTGTGAAAATGCTACGTGGTTACTTCTTTTTTTTTTATTCTGTTACTTATTCAATTTTGCTCTCAAACTTGGTGCAGACAAATTCTGAATGATGTTCAAGTGCTGCTTGGACAAAGAGGGACTCTAACTTATGGTGGCGTGTCATTGCATAGTGCCGGAAAAGGTGTGAAAATTTCATTGCTGCCAAATGGAGCTGGAGCCAGTAAATACCCATAACTACAGCATAATCATTTTTATTCAGTGTGAATGCAGATTGTAACCTTTCCCACCAAAGACAAAAGCCAGATGTTACTGGGTTTCTCGTCCAGTGGGAAAAGGGATTTAGCACGTTAGCATGCTAACATACAACACAAAGATTATGAAAAATGATTATGCACTGCTGCAACTGCAATGTTAGCATAATAACATTGACAGGGTTCTTGCACCATTTTAAAAGTAAAATTTAATGCTTTTTAAGACCTCAAAGAACATAATTTAAGACCCAAAAATAATATATACATATCAATTTATTGACTTTATGCAGATAGTAACAGTACTGGTTATGTGCTCTATTCAAGTCAGTCTATGGTCACCGTGGTCTTTCTGTGTGTGTGGCCTATAAATGTAATGGTAAATTTTGCAAATTAAACTAATGATTTTCTATAGGTTTACTAACTGGTAAAATCATATATTTTGTGCTAAAATACAACGTATCTAATGTGTATTTACAACCTAGCTTGATTCTGCATCTCTATTTACAGCTCATTAACCCTTACGTGAATGTTTACTGTTGCTGTTGCAACAAGTGACAGACTACATTAGCAGCTAGATTTGCCCAACCGTCAACAACAACCCATAAAACCACAATTCGGCATATTTACACATAATAAACCACATCTACCAACAGTTACACCCCTTAAACGCTGAGCTAATGTGTTGTTACCTGTTAGATTGTCAAAGTGACCATAGACCTGTGACCTAAATATAGCACATAACCAGTCCTCTGCCGACTCTGCCCGGATTGGGAGCACTGAGCACCAGGGGGGTGTTGGTGTTTACACCACTAGTATAGGAGCTCTGGATCGCATTAACTTTGCTCAATTTTACACCATACTTAAGGGTCATTCTCACTGCCGCGATATACGGAAATGCGGGACGGATTTGCGGAATATTTGCGCAGCGCTTTTCCGTGCTCAAACCATACACACAAGCGTTTTGCTGTGGTCAGTGACCACACTGTCAGCTGACAGGGACAGCTAACAGCAGCAGCAGCAAAGCTAACATCAGGACGTCATCTGTTAAAAGCCTCCCGTCGTCGGATACGACATGAAACTACTCCAGGCCAGTAACAAACCTCAGTGTTACTATATAAAGGTAAGTAAGTACAGTGTTTGCAGGTGCTTCTGCACCTTCAACTGTTTAATTACTCAAATTTTCAGT